CACCAATATTCCTATTTAGTCTGTCGCCTGATTTTTCAACCCATCTTCCAGCGAAGTAGCACGTTTGGATTTTGATAAAGTCCAAAAGCTCTTGGTTGAACTGCGCAGACTGAAAAACATGGATCGCACTGGGGATTCCGAGAGTTTACTAAAGTCGGGATTGGAGCCAACCATAAGAGGAGACTGTGATAACTTTCACCAGGAGACAGTCTCTGAGTCTGTATTGTATTTGCCACCGTCTCGAGGCAGCACACCGTATGATCAGTACGAAATTCAGCCGGTGCCTAGACAAGCCACTTATCCACTCACCCAAACACGTTTTCAGGGTCACGATCTGCACCAAGCTTTGATCAGTGACACGATTACCGAGTCACCATTAGCGAGGGATGAAATCAGAAGTCATCGAGGAACCGGATACTCACGCATACCATTCATGAGGACTATCTATTCCCGGTCTACTTCGGTTACGCGATCGACCAAGCGCGGATCAGACAGTTTTATTTCACACACACAATCCTCGTGGGTGAGCGCGCCAATCAGTCCGGGAGAAGGCTGGCAGAATTTCGATCTAGATACCAGTTTTAATCTCAATCGTCCGGTGTACCACAGTGTTGAAAATCCACCGATTCCGTCCGGAACCATATGCGCACAAACACAGACTGACTTGGAGATGATACCTGCAGCAGTTCCAAGCATCATCGATCAAGCGGATGATCCGTACTCAGCGGAAAGAATTCGCCTCATAGATATACGAGCATCCGATCAAACGACGCAATCGGTCGAGGATGATGAAGGAGAAGAATACGGGAAAATAGTGCCTGGTCAGTTTTCACAACCCATCATTTCACCACTGTAAGTTCATTTAGCAGCTAAATCAATTGTTTATTTGCAACGGTATTTATGTAAGCTAATAAGACATCAATTTACAGACAAACCAAAATAGAGGAATAAGTACAACGATGCTATGTCAATCTTGCGTTCACCCCGAGGTAAACTCGAAACCAAGATCAATTTTGTTTGAAAATGACTGAATGAATATATCCCAGAAGAACGAAACCGCTCTAAGTATAAGTGTGAGTTGACAGAGTAGTACCGGATACACATACCTGCCGAGAAGTAATAATCAATAATAAACACCACAAGCTTCTGTGCTTTCAAGGTATTTTGTTGCGTCAATCGTTTAATATACGAATGATTCAGTAGTAATTATTGTAATGGATCACCCTGTTGTTTTTATGTTTCCAGCTTAGTGGTTCTTTGATCTATAATGCGTAATCAGGTGACCGTCCATAAAAATGGCACAGTATCTATTTGGCGAAAATTGCGGGGAATATTTTTCATTTCCTTATTAAAAATAATAGAAGTATAAAAGTTGAAAACGATCATTCCGGTTTTCAGAAAATAAAACAGATTGATAACAAAGTAGTCTGTCCCATATGTCAACAATTTGAAACCGTTCATTTACTGTCTCGCATTTGATTAGAAAAGCATAAACACAAACAAAAAAGCGAAAAAACTAAGTTGCCAAGCCACCCAGATTCAAACGTGAGCAGAATCAATAACAAATATTTTTAGAGTAAAACATTGAACAAGCGCATTCGGTCGCCATCAAAACAAAAATAGTCAAAAATTACGTCAACTGATAGACTGATTACTGAGTTTCTTCAATGACTCGGATCTACAAAGTTTTGTGTAGATCGTGTTTCATTTTTCACCCGAATTCCAGATTCTGAATATGATTATTACAATTGCTGGATGGTTAGTGTTCGTCTCGCCCACTAGCAGTTGCGGTTCACACGGCAAAATGAATTCATACACAACGAAGTACACTCTCCACAAAAGTCCAAGTAATCCGAGAGCAGAATGACCGTCATTTCAGGTTATATTGACATCACGGTCATGTACACGAATCAACATATATGCAACAGAATACGCTAGATCCATTTGTTCCGTAGCAAATATAAAACCTGAAGTGAGGGAATCCTCGGTTTATTTGGTATTGATGAAAAAGAGTGAGCAGGACAAAAAAGCGAGCACCAAAACATATGAGAGTGAAAACAAGAGCAGCAACCAGAGAAAAGCATTCACAACAATCAAAGAAAACTGTATTTCTTGATCGTCACATTTACAGATTTGTACGCAGGAGAGAAAAGAGGAAGAAACTACAAGACCTAAAAGAAAAACGATTCAAACATCCTGAAATAAGACAGACAGTCAACAAACGAGGAGAACACCAGAAAAGAGAAACGAATGACGAGGAAAAACATGGCAAAAAGACGGAAAAGAAGAGGTCAAAACGGTGGAAAAAACAAAACAAAATAGAAGAAGGAGCGATAGACGGTTCCATTGAACAAAAAACAAGCAGATTCACCGCAGCCGGAACGCAAGGAAGCAGACGAGAATCGGAAGAAACGAGCAGCATAGTTGCTCCGCACATGACAGAGGAAGCTGGAACGGAAAGCGAGAGGGTGG